TTTTTTTTTTTTTGATTCTTCATTTATTTTATTTAAATTCCCTTTTTTTGAAGTTATTTAGTTTAATCCCTTCTTTCTTTATTTTGATTTTAATATACTTCACCATTTTTTACAACAAAAAATTTTTTGAATTTCTAATTTGTAAATTCCATCAAAAAATGGTTTTTGTTTGTTCAGTTATTTCTTTGTTGATTTATGTGTTTCTTCTTAAATTTATAAGAAGAATAATTTTCTTCTTTGAAATATCTACGTAATGTATTCTTCTTTGAAATACCTACGTAATGTATTCTGTTTTGTATAACCATCTTGTTTATAACTAAGATATACCATAAATTATGAGAATCAATATATTTAATTCTTTCAAAATAATTTGTTAGTTTGTTTTCAAATTTTTGATTATAACACTACCAAAAATGGAGTTTTGTTATTAAAGAAAAAATAATACACACAATACAATTGATAATACAAATGCTAGAAAGTACTTTATAATTAATGAATTTAACTGAAAAAAGAAACATTTTAAATTATATAGAAATTTATGATTTATTAAAACATTTTAAGTGTCATTGGAATTTAATAAATATTCTATTTAAATAATAGATTTTTGTACCACTTTTTTGGTTTTGTTGAAATTAAAAAAATATCTGTTGAAAAAGAAGAGATGGTGATGAATTTATTATAGAATGAAACAAACTATTTGTATAGAAAAATATGAAAGAGGAGTGATGAATTTAAACATCGATTAAACTGAAGTAATAACTATTAATGGCAAAGTAATTCTTATGGTATTTAATATAGTTTATTATTCAATTTATCAAAAAAAAAATATTCCATATGGAGTTTTTATAAGTGTATAAAGGTCGTTGACAAAAGTGACAAGATAAAGAATCTTCTAATATATTTGAAGAGATATTTAAACTTGAATTAATTAAGTCTCATTCACAAATGAAAGCACAAAGTTATGACTCAACTTTTACCAAAAAAGAAGGAAATAAATTTTATTTTCTTAATCAAAAAGAACATTGGAATGCAGGTGAAAAAGATGATATAGAATATATGAAACAACATACTACATATGAAGTTATTAAAAGAAGATGTGAAAAGAATCCAGAAAATGATTTTTTTGGATATAGAAAGAGAGAAGGTAAAAAATATATTGGAGAATATATTTGGTTAAAAAATAAAGAAATTCTTGAAATGACTGATTCACTTGCAAGTGGAATAATGAATAAATATCATCTTAAAAAAGGAGATTCATGTGGTATTATTAGTGGAAATAGATATGAATGGTATCTCACACAATTTGCTCTTCAAAGACATGGAATTATTCCAGTTCCTTTATATACAACTCTTGGTAAAGAAGCTATTGATTATATTATTTCAACTTTATCTATAACATTAGTATTTTGTACATTTTCTGATACTGTAGCAGAAATGTGTGAAAGAAATCCTAAAATAACACTTGTATGTTTTGATACTTTTGAAGATATTATGAATCATATTAATCCAAGTATCTCTTATGTTACATTTGATAATTTAATTAAAGAAGGAAAATCTAATTTAATTGAACCTCAATTACCAACAATGGATGATACGTTTTCAATAATTTTTACTTCAGGTACATCAGGAATTCCAAAAGGTGCAGTTCATTCATTTAAAAGTGCAAGTTATGGTTCTTGTACAATAAATAGTGCAGAATTATTTAAAGATAGTCCAATGAAAGAACAAACATATTTTTCATATTTACCATCAGCACATGTTCTTGACCAAGAAGTAACTCATGGCTTTATTTATGGTGGTGGTAGAATTGGTTTTATTTCAGGAGGAATTCCAACATTAATAGAAGATTTAAGTAAATGTCAACCAACATTTTTTATTGCAGTTCCTCGAGTTTTACAAAAGATTTATGATAAATTTAATGAAACATATAATCAACTTGGATATCTTTCACAAACAATGTTTAATATTGGATATTATTATAAATTAAATGCTATCAAAAATAAAAGTTGGAATTATATTAATTGGGATAATATTGTTTTTTATAAAATTCATCAAGTATTTGGTGGTAAATTAAAATATATTTTAAATGGAGGTGCTCCATTAACTGAAGAATTATATGAATGGTTAAGAGTATGTTCTGGTGCTATTATTCTTCAAGGATATGGATTAACTGAAACATTTGGTGGAATATGTTGTTCTCTTCCATATATGACAGATTTAAATATATTAAATGTTGGTTCATGTGGTCCAAATGTAGAAATAAGATTAGTAAGTGTACCAGAGATGAATTATACAATTGATGATGAATATCCATCTGGAGAAATTGAAATACGAAGTAAACAAAATTTTATTTGTTATTATAAGAATGAAGAAGCAACAAAAGCAGCAATAAATGATGAAGGATTTTTTGCTACTGGAGATATTGGAAAAGTGTGTCCTGATGGTTCTTTAGCTATTATTGATAGAAAAAAGAATTTGTTTAAATTAGCACAAGGAGAATATATAGCAGTTGAACCATTAGAAAATAAGTATTGTGCTATGCCTCTTATTTCTCAGTGTTTTATTTATGGTGAAAGTTCTGATGTTTTTATTACTGCAATAATTGTTTTAGATTTTGATGAACTTAAACGTATAGCTTCAAGTATTACTACAGAGTCTGAAAAAGATTCTTTATTAAATATTCATTATTTAAATAAAATTGAAATTAAAAAGAAAATCCTTCAAATTATTCAAAATTATATTAAAACACAGCATGTCCCTGGATATGAAATTATTAAAAATGTTTATTTTGAAACAGAACATTTTTCAACAGAAAACGATTTAATGACTCCTTCATTTAAATTAAAAAGACCTCAACTCAAAAGAAAATATTTAACTATTCTTAAACAACTTAGAACTGAAATACAAAACAACCTTATTTAAATTCAATTAATTTTTTTTATAAAAGTTATGTCATTTCCTTTTTATAAAGACTCTTAATTAACATGTCTATTGTCTTTCTTTCTAATCAACCAATAAATTACTTGATGTAAAAAAAAACAAATGAAGTTCTCATAATATCTAGAAGATATGAATTTGTTTATTTTTAAATAATCGAAAAAATAATCAAGTGATTGGTATTTAATATATTTATAATTAATTCATATACATTGTATTAGAATCTTTTTTTATATTATTCATAGATACATAATCAAGATTCAAATAATATTATTAAAAAAAAATACAATACGATTATTATTTATATGAAAAACTACACTGATATTTTTTTATACTAAAGAAATGAAATAAAATAAATAAAATTTGATTAAATAAAATCACTTTTTTAAAAAAAGAATGAAAGAAAAATAGAAATAGAAATAATAAAAATAAAAAGCTAAAATAAATTACAATAAAAGAAATATTAAAGAATGATAATAAAAGGTAAATTCAAAGTAATATTTGTACAGAGCAATTATTCATCTTTTAAAATAATTAAGTTTTAATACTTACTCATCATCAGTGATACCAAGTAATTGTTTTAAATATCTTCTTTCTTCTTGAAGATCTTTCATTCTCATTTTCATTTCAGACATTTTTTGAAGATACATTTGATTTTCATTAAAAGAGTTAATTCTTAAATTATCAATTTCATGAACTAATGTCATTATTGTTGATTTCATTATATAATTTGGATCTTTAAAACTAATGATTATTTCAAATGAATATTTAGAAGTATATTCTTTTAATGACTCCCATTCTTCATTTAAAGTATAGTCAATTGGAATAATAATAGCATTTTCTGGATTAAATAAAATTCTTTTTTTATCAAAACAAAGCCACTAATTTTATTTAGTAATTTACTTTTGTTTTTTATTAATTAAATAAACTTTACAAACACTTTTCTTATGAACATGAAGTATCATTTCATTCATTAAGTCTTGACAATTCTTTTGTAACCAACAGTTCCAGTATGTACCACTTGTTGTACCATCAATAAGAGTATTAAATAATTTTGATATTGTCATTAATGTTTGAAAATGTTCTGGTGATTCTTTAGCAAGTAATGTAATTAATGAATTAAATGGAATTTTAAATACATATCTAATCATTGTTTTAATTAAGTATTGTTTACATTTAAGTGTAAATAAATAATACATTGTATAATAAGTAAATTGTATAACACTAAATAATAAATTTTAATTTATAACATTTAGATTTATATTTATTTTATGATCAAAATAATATTTTCTAAACAAACTTTGGAATAGTTTTAGCATTGACAATTGATGTAATTATTTCACTTAATGTTTCTTTAAATTTTTTCATTGCTTTATTTGAGTCTTTTCCTTCAATGTCATCAAGCTAATTTATTAATATTTAATAAATGTTTTATTTAATACAATAACTTAACAAACACTATAATTTTTTAATTTTGAACATTTCTTAAATATACTCGATGACATTTCCATCTGTAAATATTTACCTGAAAGAGAAAATAAGATTGAGAAAAATGATGAAAAGACAGTACTGTTATTTGTTAAATCTTCACAACGAGCTGTAATTTCCCTTAACACAATGTAATTTATAAAATTTGCTAATTTATTAATATCACTATAATACGTTAAAATAGAAAGTACATTAGATTCCCGAGTAGGGTCATCTAATTCTTTTCTAATTAAATATTCAATAATACTAGACGGTGTATCACTTTGAAAATTTGATAATAACTACTTCATAAATATTTTCTTAATAACATTTTTTATTAAAAACAAACTTCTTTCCAAAATTTTATTTCTTCTTCTTGTAAAGGAAACAAAGAACAATCTAATTCTCCAGTTTTTTTAAACTGTGGAGAGGTATTTCTTGGGCTAGTACTTGATGACCGAGGGCTTTTAATAAATCCATATAACCCTTTATCTCGAATTGATTTTTCAAGTTTTTCTATTTTATTTATCTTCTTTGGATCTGTAAATAATCTTCTATTTCTTGGAGTTGATTTAGGGACAGAATCAACTACTTCAGGTTCGTTGATAATATTTAACTTTCCAATATGGAGTTTTGGTGATTTTGAATTACTCATTAATTTCTAATAATTTAGAGTTTTCTCTTTAAATCTAAACTCAGCAACTCATTTATTTTTCTTTTTTTAACTTCTTTTTGAAAAGTCCAATTTCTATGTGAGAGACAGAATCTTCTATTCAACTACTCTGGAGATAAACCAGTTTTGATTAATTCTATGTTATAAAAATTCCTTTAACAATAACTCTTTAATAAGAAAATCTTATGTTATTGTCTTTGACTATTTTTTGTTTTTTTAAATAATTGTTTCTTTTCAATAAGGTTGTTCATTAAAAATGTTTTCTATGCCGTCATTGTTCTATGGATAAATGACAGAAAATACTATTTGAAATAAAGACATTTATGAATGAGAAAATCCCCTACATAAGTCAATGGTGTAATATAAATAAAGTACAACTAATAAAAAGACATAAACATAAATTAAATTGAAGGTATAATAATTAAAGACATTAAAAACATTGGTGACAAAATGTTAGCAAAGAAGTAATGAACATAAGAAATTGTGTATAAAATAATGAAATAAGGTTATAAAGAGTTGTATGAAGAAAAAACCTCTTAAAAAAATAATTGGAAGAAATACTCAACATAAATTATTCATTTAGAATTGAAGACTATAATTATAATGTTTTTATTATACTATTAAATAATAATGAGTATAATATATGATTTGATTTATAATTTTGATAGTGAATAAATATTATTCATTTTTGTAAAGTATTTATTTTAGACAAACAAAGTGTCTGTTTGTTTTCAGTTATATTATTTAATATTTTGGTTTGACATTTATTTTATTTTAACAACAAAATATGAATACCATTAATCAACAATACATTATCTATTTCAAATTCACAAGGAGTTGTTTTATTATTAAAATATGTTAGGTAATTGTAAAAATAGTTATTTCATAGATTATCTTTCAATTAAGAATAAATTTATATATGATTTTTTAAAAAAAATATATGATAATACCAAAATACATGAATAAGAAATATTAAGATAATATTTTAAATATTCTAAACAAATAAAATAAAAAGTTCCAGTTAGTTATGATTGGTTTGATTAAAATTTAATATTAAAATGATTATTATACATGTTAATAATTTTACTTTGTTGAAACACTGAAATATCATTTTTTTCTATTGTTTTCTATTTTGAATTACAGTCATAGTGGTTATTTTCTAATTTGTTACTTTACTAACAAAGAGTTATTTCTTATAAATATAGTTTTGATAGTTTATGTATCACCATTATTGAAATTTAGTTATTTAACTGCACTTATCTTTTTTGAAACGACAAAAATCAAACCAATATTTTAATTAAATTATTATATATTTTTTATGGAATAATTTTGTATTAATTGAAATATTATTTTATTTTCATAAACACCAGAATAATTTTCTGTTTATATCTTTTAGTATAGTAATGTTTTTAACTTTATTTTATATTTTCTTTATTTCATCTTTTTTCATTGTTAAATACTTTTCTTTATTCAAACAGTTTAATGTCATTTTAATTATATTTTAATTTGGTATTTATGACTTTATTTAATTTTTAATTACTGTTTGATTATATTTGTTGTTTACATATTTTCCAATGTATGAAATACAACAACTTTTAATGCAATGATTATTGTGTAATAACAATTTGTATTGTAAAGAAAGACAAACAAGTCATAGAAGTCCAACGTCATACAATAAAAAAAGAAGTGTCAATAGCAATAAATGGAATAATAATAAAGGAAAATGAAATAGCAAGGAAAATTGATTAGAAGAAGAAAGAAACAAATAAAAACAAATAAAAAACAAGATAAATACAATAATATGTAAATACAATGACAATATAGATTATACAAATAATAAATATAAATGATTAACAATAAAAGAGATACATGAAAGTAAATATAAATGGATAACAATAAATGAGATACAAGAAAGAATAAAAGGAATAACAATGAATGGGAAAAGGAAGAATAATCAGAAATACTTAAAAAAGTAAGAAATTAAAAGAAAAGATGGTATGATATTTAACAAGAAGT